ACCCCTGGGCGCCGGTTGCTAGGGCCCAGCGGCTGCTGGTGGTCAGCCAACACAGCCAGGCCAGCACTCAGGCGGGCCTGCACTGCCGGGCGGTGCTTGGCACCGCTGCCCGCCCCAGCCCAGTCGCTCGGAGCCCGACTTTGGCCCAGGTCACACCGTGTGGCCTAGCCGGCCGTACCGTCACCGTATCGGCGTGACGGCACCATCCCGTACCATAAGCGCCTTGAACTCGAGGGCTTACGGTGCGGCATGGGGCCCGTCCCGGCGCTGTCAGAGGCCGTACCGTACATGGCTCTACAGCCCTACAAACTCCCCCGACATCCATCCTCAGGGTCGACATGCTGACACTAACGGACAAACAACTAGCATCCACCAAGGATGACTGCAGCAACCTGACTGAGTGATACACAGCCACGCACTCGCGATCACGCTCTGCGGTTCGTGTGCTCAACGTCCAACGTGGGAACATTGCGTAACTAGTCCCAGGGTTAACACTCCAGGCCCTTGCCAATATGGCAGGGCTGACCAGCCCCCTAGAAAAGGTGGGTGTTCCATGCTCGCCGTAAGTCACACAAGGTGGTAGAGGTTGCGTAGAGGTGTTGAATGGATCGCCAAGACATCTTGGTACTGTGGGGGCGATGATCAAACATGATTGATGCATGTAGATCGCAGGCGAAGCTTGCGTTTAGTCGATGGAAGGCTACCATATAGGCATCGGGCCATGGCAATAGCTCACTCGGTGCCACCGGTAAGGCGCCGAAGGTGTCCCACACCCGCCCACGCCACACCCACACCATCACAGGCATGCACGCCTGTTGGCGCAGGCCCACGCCATTTGGCCACGCCCATGTGCGAAGTCTCTTCTGAATGCGAACTAAACCAGGTTGAACCTGAATGCCAAGTTTGATTCAAAGTTCAAGCTGGGGCCAAACCTGAACCGAAGTTCAGGTTTGGTGTTTGCGAACAAAGGACTTGAACTTGAACTGAACTGAACTGAACTTTGCTATCTCCATTAGGTGACTTTTCTTTCGAAGTACAGTCTTCAGTCAATACATTCAACAACTGGACTAAATTTTGAGCTGAGTAAGAGTGAGTTGAATACTAGATTATAGTATATTCAGAGACCCTTCCAGCCATACCAGAACCATTCTGGAAGCTCAAAAAATGACTGAGATAAACTCTTCTGACAAGCCCAAGTGAGATTTTTGGCCAGGTAAAAGTGAGCTGAATGCTAGATTCAGAGGCCTTTAGGATACAGCCCTAATACTGTTTTGAAGTTATAGAGTAATAGCCTATAAGTTGCACTAACAAAAGTCAATAGATTTGTAGTCAATAAAAGTGAGTTCAATGCCAAGTTAAAACCTCTCTAATGATATATAATTGATATCAAAATAATAAAGCGGAAATCTTAACAGAGTTCATAGATTGAATACTTATTTAGCAGTTAGTAGCTGCCATAAGTGGTATTGACAAAAGTCAATAGATTTGTGGTCAGTGAAAGTGAGTTGAAACCTTGACAGAGTTGATTATCATTAGAAATTGAATACTCACTCAGCAGTGAAGGAGTATTTTGTAGTCAAAGTTTGGTATACAATCAAAGACCAGTTTGTAGGCCTATTGGACATTTGTGCATATATATGACAGATTCCAAATGGTCATTAGAGGTACAAGCCCAATACTGTTTTGAACCTAGTCATTGACTGTTATAAAAGTCAGTTAGTCTTGCCTTTCAATACCTTTCTGACCATATAGGAACCTCAGTAATGAGCCTAATACTGCTTTGAAGTCATTTGATTGAAATTCTGTGAATGTATAGTTGAAAGCAAGTTTTAAACTCTTGTGAAGAAGACCTTTATGGTCAAACTAGAAATAAGCTCAACTGCCACAGTATTCTGTAGTAAAAGTTGATAGATGTGTAGTCATGTTGTGTAATCAAGTTTGTAGAACTTTCTCATACCTCTCTGACCATATCAGAATCACTATCAACAAGTCAAAGCTCATTGAAATATAAGCCTTACTGTTTTGAACCTCGCCCCAAAAGACACCTATGATCTTCTACATTTTGTAATCTACCACTTTCATTATAGAATTCTGTCAACTTCCGGGGTAAGTTCAACTGAGAGTTAGCCAAGTTACACTGTTAGGCTAGTTTCAGAGATTGTCAGGTACCAACACATCTCAAAGTAGAGATTTTCAGTACCTTTTCAATGATCTATAAATTATCCCAAATGAATCAGAATTGACTGAGTTATGTTAGTAACAGGAAAAAAGTTCAAATCTGGACTGGCAGTTGCCTTATTGGCTCTTATGCTTCAGTCCCATGTGATAGAGAATTTGAATAGCTTTCTAATGGTATATAAATCATTCCAAACGGATAAGAATTGGCTAAGTTATAACCCTAACACTGTTTGAAAGTGGAATTCCTGGATTTCCATCTTAAGTGAAGTTCAACTTAAGGGTTGAACTGGCCCTAAAGTCGGATTTCCGCGGACTTCCACTCAAAAGACACTCGTAATTTTTCACTTTTCTGTGTTTTCTAGCTTAACCATTAACAATTGGGCTTAGCTCCAAACTGAACCAAGTCATAAAATTTGAATATCTACAACTTTCATTAATTGACCCCCGACCTAAAGTGGAAATCCGGGATTTCCACCTGGCAGTTAGGTTAAAGTCAAGTTTAACTTAGGGATTGAACTACAGTGGAATTCCGCGGACCTCCACCTTAAAAGACACTCGTGATTTTTTACATTTCTGTGTTTTCTGGCCTAACCATTGACTATTAGGCTTAGGTCAAAACTGAACCTAGTCATTAATTTTGAATATCTACAACTTTCATCAATTGAGCCGGCCCTAAAGTGGAGTCCGCGGATTTCCACCTTAAAAGACACTCGTAATTTTTCACCTTTCTGCATTTTGTGAGCCAACTAGTAACAATTAAGCTTAGGTCAAAACTGAACCTAGTGTTTAATTTGTAACATCTATCACCTCACAAAGCGGGCAGTTATTCTGAAGGCTGGCAGTTAATTACTTCCAAGTATGAACAATCAGGCTTAGGGCCCAGTGGTCAATCTGAACTTGGCAAAGTTGCCGGCCCTAAAGTCCTGGCAGTTAAGTTCAACTAATTATTGAGTCTTTAGGGCCAGTCTTATATATTTTCTATACTAAGTCATTTATAAGGCTGGCCCTCAAGACTTTAGGGCCAGTCTTTATATTTTTTTATATATAAGTTATTTATAGGGCTGGCCCTAAAGTGTGGGAAAAAAAAAAAAAAATACCCATAGTACAGAAAGAGAAGCCAACATGAGTTGTGAATGCAGGAAGAGTACAATCCCCCAGATGATCCACTTTGTAAGAAGACTTTTGTTATTCTGAACTGTTTTTAGCAGTTTTACTGAGTTGCCAATCAGGTGTAGTGGCTGAATGGGAGGTCACTACTCTCCCATCAGCTTAGTGGCAGTCTTAAGGAAGACTGCCAGACCAAAGATAAAATGCCACAACAAGACAGCTACTAGCAAACCACTGACGAACACACCATGACCAAGAGATTGAGCTCAGCTCGGAAGGTGTTGAACCAACCTCGCTACCCCTTGGCTTACCACAGCACATCCTATCTCCGCCAATTTAATGAAGCACAGACCAGACTGATCCACTTTCACTGTCTTCCCCCAGAACCCACAACAGGAAGAGCAGGGTCATTGAAGCCAGGCTGCTCTTCCATATATAAGGCAGGCCCACCCCTCAGCCCACCCCAAGTCCAAATTGCGCAAAAGCGTGAAAACCCATGTCCACAATTTCACAGACTTGGACTCCATGGAAACTCCGCAGTCATGTGGTTGAGGTCACATTTTATTGAAGTAACAATCACAACATCAATCACCACATCAACAACAACTCTTACGACGCTTACGAGGACCTTCCAGTCGGCCCGCTAGTTGCCGATGCCGATTGATCAAGACGTAAAGCTGTCAGCACGCCATGACATTGCGCTGATCTCTGGACGCATCAACTCTGCGGCCCAGTTCCTGCGGCGCACGGAGCCTCTCGTCCGCGCTCTGCCGCTGAAACCAAACCCAATGCTGGACGCAATGCTGGAATGCGGCCTCATTACTTTGCTGAGCAACACTGTCATGTATACCTACTCCACCGTCGAGCTCAGGCTGCCGCCAAATCAGGAGCAACCATGCAGCGCTGCACAGCTGTTTGGCTCTGATGTAGCGGCACAGGAGGTTCTGCGCCGTGTGGCGTACAGCGGGGGGTGATCTCTCTGGACGTGGCAGAGTTCTGGTCCGGCCTCGCGCCGTCATATGCGCTGATGCTCCGGCGCGCGAATGACACGCAGGGCGCACGGTTTCCATTAAGGTGGTGTCTCGTTTTCTTAACATCTTGTAGCTCAAAAATATATAATATCAGTTCTGGAGGACTGGAATGCTCTAGTAGCATACCGTCGAAGTCTACATAACCTATAGGATTCAGTGGTCCACCAACTATGTTCTATGGTAGAAAACCCACATTCCCTCATAATACATAAGATTTTGTCGGGTTATAAGTTGCCCCAGATGTGAACGGAATGCGCGCAGGCTCCCACCTGGGTTCTGTACATCGCAGTCAAACTTATCGATTAGTACAGACAGTAAAGGTTTCTGCTTTCATCGAGTTCCGTCTCTGTCCCTCTAATTCGCAATCCTCGTCCTCTGCAACCGGTCCGACAGCTCGTCCATCGCGCGCTTCACCGCACCGAAGCGCGACACCACACCTGCTCGCTGTCGACATGCGCCCACAGCGCTGAGCGTCTGGAAGCGGCGGCTGCACCCCTGCCCGGGCAGATGTACGTCTGCTCCTCGTGGCGCGGGCTCGCGAGGTGCTGATTAAGCCCGGGCAGCGTGGCGGAACTTGCCGTGGCAGAGGTAGCACTCGTGACGCGGTGCCGTTCCAGCTGCGCCCGGTCGCGACGTAGCGTGTTGTCGCTCTCCGCCGCGGCGATCAGGCGCGGGGGTCGGTGATCACGTTGCGCGTGTCCTGCGCGGATGTAGCGGTTGAGCGACTGCCGGTTCGCGCCCGGCCGCGCAGCTGCCCGCCTCGAGATGCGCGGCGAGCGACGGGCCGTTGATGAAGGACTGCCCGCAGCCGCGGCCGGGGCACGTGATCGTGCGTGGCTTGTGCAGCGCCGAGTTCATATGCGCGTTGAGGTTGTTTGCGGAGGTGAACAGCCGGCGGCAGGGGGTGCAGTAGTGGTGCACGCTCGACTGGCGGCAGTGCTCGTGCAGCCCCTGCTCGTTCTTGAACACCCGCTCACACGAAGAGCAGTAGAAATGTGCGTCGTCCATGTGTTCCGCCAGCTCGCCGCCATCGTCGAAATGCTCGTCGCAGTGCTGGCAGTAGAAGTGTCTGCGGCTCTGGACGTAGTGCTCCTTCAGCCCCGTCCACGTCGTGTCGATCTCGCAGTCGTCGCAGAGCCAGTGTGCACTCGACGCCCGCTCGTGCTGCGCGAGGGCACCGTAGTGAGGGAAGTAGCGGTCGCAGCGGTCGCAATACACCGTCATAACGCTAATGTTCTTTGTGAGTACGGTCACGTACGGGGCCCGCACGCAGAGAGAAGCACCCTTGTCCCAGAAATTAAACTCGGATCTTCGGTGGTGGTGGTACGACGACATGAGTGTCACGCGCACGTGAGGAACGTCCACGGTGTTTTGAATCGAGGCTGATGTCGTTACCTGCGTAACCGATATGCTTTAGAGCGGAAATGCGCTGCGAAAGGGGCCACGCGCCTTTGTTCCAAGCACTTATGCTACTGCCGAATGTTCTAGCAACAAGTTCTATAGCCAATGACCAATGTCCGGGGCAAACCTCGCTTGCTCAGCGTCGGCCTGTTCGAAACCGATGCATGGCCCCGCGCATTCAACGTGTCCTGGGCATCTCCCTAGATATATACATACTTATAGGTGAGCATGATCGAGTCCCGTGGAACAGGGTAAAGAGCATATAAAGAGGCATCGAGCGCGAATCCGGAGGGACAAACAGACCCGCAGGGCTGGTCCCAAGCGGCACCAGCGTTTTTGGGAAGTGACAGACTTTACAGTGCTGTACAAGGTTGCGAATACCACCGGACTCGGAATACGGGTCAGCCATACTAGTAGATTTTTCATACTTGGCGTCGTTCCTCCAGAATCAGCGTCGGCACTTGCGCGAATCGTCATTCGCAGCCCCGGAAACATCGCAGACGAGCTCCCCGCCTTGAACAAGCCACCATCGCACGTCAACCCCTGCCCAAAGCGCACTTCCGCCGTCGCCATGTCCCCCACGACGAAGTCGAGTCGGCGATGAAATGGCGTCCGGCGGGAGCCCTACACTCGTCGATACGGGTCCAAACAAATTGAGCGTGTCATATAGGTCATGTAGCAGACGGAGGTACGGTCGAAAGAGGCCCAAGGTAAACGGGTGAAAAGCAGGAGCTGCATAGCGCTTTGTGTGACCACGACTCGGAGGGAAAGTCGAGTGTGGCGTTCGCGGAGAGTAACGCGCATTTTCGTGAGATGCTCGTGAATGAGGGGTATGCCGGAGCGTTATTCGAGGACCGACGGATGGAGGGGAATGACCAGAGGATTGGGAGCGCAGTTAGCCCTTTTGCCGCCGGTCGTCGCGACGAGAATGGTGAGCATTATCATCCGGGACTCTGAAGACAGCCCATAAGGCCTTTGAGCACTCCAAGGCACCACCAGCGCTCGTCAAATTCGGCCCAAAGCCCACTTCCAAATCCACCATGTCCCCCACGACGAAGTCAAGACGCAGATGAAATGGCGCTCAGCGAGAGCCTTGTATCAGGTCCGAAAGAATTAAGCGTGTCATATCGGCCGGGTATTGGAAGGAGGTAGGGTCGATAGAGGGCGAAGACCAAAGGGCGAAGAGCTGCATATCGCTTTCGCGGAGAGTGACGTCGTCACGTGTGACAGTGGCTGTGTCGAAATTTTTCGAGGAAAGAAAGTCGTTCGGATGGCGCGTTGGTGGAGAATGTCACATTGTGTAGTTGATTAAGAGCTTTGAAGGAGTCTATGGTAGACGGAGGTGCATATGGCGGGCGGTTAGTCGAAGGCAATGGTGCTCGTTTTTCAAGTTTATCGAGAAGCAGGTCGCTTGAGAGTTTCTGGGACAGAGAGGCGGGGTTGTCGGCGGTTTTTTCCCCTACATGAAGAGTGTCACCATGAGGAGTGAGCTAGAACAGCAAACGCACCATTATCCGCCGCCTCTGTTTGTTCCTTCGGTTTTTTCTTTCTTAGAGGTTCCGAAATCCACTGAGTCGGCAGAGTATATTAGAAGAAGAGGACACGGGAAGTCGCGCTTGTTGGCGAGGATATGCGGAAGTCGCTGCAGCTGAATTCCAAACGATAGGTGTACTAGACGAAAAGCCAGATTTGTCAGACCGACTCGAAAAGAGGCTTGCTTGGACGCACCCGGTTTTCCTTCCGTGTCACGCTAATCTTTTAAAGAGCCCTCAACCTCCTTTTGAATCGAAGGCGTTCCCTCGATGGAAGAGCCCCGCTAGCGGGAAGTGATTGCTTTCGGGGAGTCGAGAGGGAGTAACCAGGATGGCGAAAGCGGATTATTGCATCGGTTCTCATTGAAGGAGTGGGGGAACGGATGCATCTGGGCATGCCCAGCTGAGAATTGAAGGGGCTTGACCCGCTGAGACCGTCGCGTTGGCTCGAGATGGAGTCGCGGAAAAGCGGGGAAAGCATGGGGGGGCCGAGCCCAGCTGATAGCTACGGGGGAAGAGTGAGACGGACATGACGCAAGAAGAGCATGAAAAAACACCCCCGTCATCCCTCTTCTTTGCCAGCGCGCAGTCCGCCCACCTCTTCACCTGCAGCCCCACCTGAGCGTCTGGCTCCCAGCGCTGCACAAGAAGAAGGGCCCTCTGAGCAGGTTCTTGCTCCCACTACCCGCTGCCCGCTTTCCTGCTTGCGCGGTCAATGACGTCGGCGATGCCGCTCGGCCCGCTCCAGCGCTACAACGAAGAAGCATCCACTCGGCCCACATCTACGCTCCGCCCCAGCATCATCTCCCCTCCTCGTCGGTGCATGCGCGCGTTGTGGTGAAGGAGCAAAACTTCATCATCATGAGGCTGTGTGGGAACCCGCCCGGCCCTCGGCGCCGCATGCCGGATTTTTGTCAGCGTGCTTCTTTTTTATCAACCACCACATGCTCACCGCTGGAACCCCGTCTCCCGTGCCTTGCTGCTCAGGCGCGTCATCAACTCTTTGACTGGGGGCATCCTGCAGCTCCCCTGGCCATTTCTCGCCCGGTGGATCGCCATCCGCTGTCAAAATCCTCAAGACCATGTACCGCTGTTGTCGCCAGTCTCACGGACGACTCCAAAGCCGTCCTTCGCGCGAACTGAGGCCCTCCTGCCGAGTTGCTTTCGTTTCTGCTGCCCTCTTCGCGGCCCCGGACGCCCGCGGCTTACTCCGAGTCAAAACTCCTCAACGCACAGCAAGGAAGACTCTGGGCGAAACAACGCGGGAGTTGTGGGGCCAAACTTCACGAAAACGCGCCATCGGGGCGGTCGACTGGCGCGAAACCCGCTACGCGCGAGCTGGGCCACTCCCTCTTCGTTGCGGTCGACTTTTGCGGCGATCTCCCCCCTCCGGGCCAGCGCAAGGCGCGACTATGGCCGACTCTTGGCCGCTTCGCCCAGAAATCGCCCCGGACCGCGTTCTCAACGTCCAGGGAGACTCTAGAGGCTGGATATATCTGTCTCGGCGCGTCTCCACGGTCTGCCACAGTCCATGGAGGCCGTCGTCGCTGTTGTCCGCGTTGAGCGCAAGGTCGGTGAGCGCCGAGCGCATTCGTCGCTCGTTCTGTCTGAAATCTTCATCGCAGGTAGCGCCAATCCAGTCCTCGTCTTCCTGAAGTTTTCAGGCCTAGGGCGAATAGCGAAGCGGGTGGGTCTGCGCGGAGCGGGTTCTGTTGCGCGAAACCCGAGGACGGCGGGCCGAGTTCTTGCTCGTGACGTCTGATACCAACAGGGTGGGGAGCACCAATATATCCTCCGTCCTCTCGAAACTCCAGGCGGAACGGGCCAGCGCCTGGCCCGGCCGGGGTTTTCCGAAGGCAGCCGCGTCCCGGCCCGCCTCGCGCGCGTTTAGTCTAGGAAGGAAGCCGCGGGCAGCGGCGCTAGGTGCGCCCATCTCCAACGAATCCCAAGCCAGACGACCCAGTTGTCGTGCTGCATCGCGCCGTCTCGTCTAGGTCGGTAACTCAGTCTTCTGCTGAATTCAAAGGCTGAATTCAAACAACTATAAGTGACTTTGACTCCAAAGCCATCCTTGGCGCGAACTGGGGCCCATCCTGCCCACTCCCCTTCCCTTTCGTCTCTCCTGCCTTCATCGCGGCCCCGGATGACCACGGCTTGCTCAAACTCTGGACGAAGAAGTTGCACCTACAACTCGGGAGTTCGGGGGCCAAATTTCACAAAAGCGCACCGTATCAGGGCGGTCTACTGGCGCGAAACTCGCGACGCGCAAGGCACGCCACTCATTCTTCACGGCCACAGCTGTCTCGGCGTCTCCTCAGTCGATGGAGGCCATCGTCGCTGCTGTGCGCGAGATCGGTGAGCGCCAAGCACATTTGCTACTCGTTAGGGTTAGGTTAGCGCCATTCTGGCCCTCCTGTTCCTGAAATTTACAAGGGGAACGGGGCAGCGGCTCGCTCGGCGCGGAGCGAACTCTGTCGCGCGAAACTCGAGGGTGGTGGGTCCAGTTCTCGTTCGTTCCGCCTGATACACACAGGGCGGGGAGGACAAATATGTCTCTCCATCTTCTACAAGTTCCAAGCGGGCGCCTGGCTCTGCGCGGCCGTCTCCAGCGAATCCCAAGGGAAACGACCCAGCCGTCGTCCTGCCTCGCGCCGTCCCATCTCGGTGAGTGACCTCCGTCCTCTGCTGAATTCGAAGGCTGATTGCAATATGACGCACATTCTGCGCCATTGTCCCGCGCTCCTCGTCCTTCGATCACGCCGGCATGCGGCTGCGTTGTGTGCACGCGTTGCCCCGCGTTCCGACACTGCCCCAGGGCCAGCGGGCCGTGGACTCACAAGTGGAACGGATCACTGGCAGCGGCTGGCCCGCGCGATCAAAGGCGCAATTACGCCGTCCTGCCGCGCAGCCGGCCTTCCGCTACACCTCATCGGTATAAACGGCGCATGGAGCTGGGGAGACATACCGCTACCCCGCCAGCGAACCCGCCCGTATCCCTCAACGCGCTGCTGGAGCAGTACACAAGGTCTTCCAGAGGGAAGACATCCCTGCCGATCGAGCCGAAACTCGGCCAGAGGGCGCGGAAGGCATGGAGGTATATCATCTGAGAACTTCGTGTAGCTAGTTGTAGCATTATGTCTTCATTCAATATTCACTCTTAAGCTGGACTGAAAACTCTCTAGATTGATTTTACCTGAGTTATGACACAATATCAATTGCAACAGTGAAGTTCAGCTGTTACACTATGTTGTATTGGTGAACTCACATCAAACCTATTTTGGGTTGAAGACTCATTGGTAGCCCTTTGAAACCAGATTGAAACAGACTTGAACATCTATGCAGAAGTAGTATTGAAACACTTGGAAAGTGAGCAAAGAGAAACTAAGAGAAAAACAGAAAACC